GACGGCCCCCGGGAAGGGAGGACGGGGGAGCTGGCTCCCAGGGGCACATAGAACCACAGAGGTAAATCAATCCCCGGAAAAGGGAAGTGCTTGGGGACCAGAATCTTCACCCTCCTCCCTCAGCCCTGCAGGAGAGCGGGGCGCTCGGCATCCCTGCCGCACTGCTTGGCACTGAGGCACCAGAGGCAAAGGGGCTTGGCCAAGGTCGCAGGCTGAGTCAGCGGCAGGATCCAGAGCAGCTCCTGCGGGGTCCTGCCCCCCCTCCCCCCCCCGTGCATTGCTCCAGGCCCCTGGACCACGGGGAACAGCACCGCCGCCATGGAAACCCAGGGGAAGGCGCAGGGGGCGGCTGGGGAGCGGCCCGGGGTCCAGTTCAAAAGGTGAAAGTGTTTACCTTTGTGTTTAGATAATTGGATGGGAGTTGAAGGGCTTGGAAGGCTTATCCGGGCTGGGATCTGAGCCCCAGGAGCCCGGCTCGCTCCACTGCCGGCCACATTACACGGCTATTTGGTCAACCTAAAGGCATCTGATGGCCGGCCATTACCCCTGCTTTATGGCCAGTCTGCCTGATCGGCATCTAGGCTGGTCACGCATGGGGGGAGCCCGGGGCCTCCAGTTTCATTTTCCCACACAGCTGAGTGCCAAGCAGAGGAGCTGAGCATCCCCAGACCCTGCGCGCAGGTGGAGCCCATGGAGCCAGATCTCCCCACACATCCAGCGCGAGCCCCCGGAGGTCACAGAGTTCCTGCCTAGAGGGATGCCAAGTGCTGGAGGTAACACAGGGTCATGGCGGAGACAAGGTGCCTGAACTGTTCAGTGGCGCTTCACGGGTTTTATAGCTCTCTATCCGACAGAGAGCAAAGCGCCTTCCATTCAGCAAGGGCACCGTGCTTTCAACGCCCCTTGGCTCGGCTTCGTGTGAGCTCTGGAAGGGGCTGGAAGGACTCACTCACACTTCAGAGGCCTGCGGAGCAGCTGTCTTTCTTTTTTAGCTTGGGTGTACGGCTCAGTGGTGGGAGAAGCATAAACACCAAACCCCCTGGCTCTTACAGACTATGTTCCAGCTGTAGCCCTCAGGGTGTTTCACACAGGAGAGCAGTGTCATTAGCCCCATTTTAGAGATGGGGGAACTGAGGCAAGGGCACCAACTTGACTTGCTCAAGGTCACCCAAGAGCTAATTCAGGAGTAGAATCCCTGCCTCCTGTGTCCCAGGATGATGTTCTCTCCACTAGGCCATACTACCTCCCTGTAAGTAGGGTTGTTGGTACCTCACAAGACTCATTTTTGTGCAGCTGAGGGGTCACAGACGTGTGTGGAAATAATCCAGGAATAAGGAAACCCCCCAAACCCACCCCTGTGCTTTTCCCTTGTGTGTCCCCAGCTCTAAATTCCCCTCCCTGCCCCGTGTTACCCGAGATGCAAGTAAACAGCAGTAGCAGTATAGACGTGCGTGTATGCAGTTAGTGCGCGCCCCACGCCAAACGACACTACCTTACAGGGCCGCTGTCTGCAAAGTGGGGCACCAAAACAGGAAATGGAGATGTGCACAGCCCTACCTCTGCCCCTGGGGGGGTCCATGCTGGGCACGCACAGACGCCAACGCCGGACGGGACCATCACGCCCATAGCGTTTGTGCCTCTCCCGCTTTCAGTCCACCCACCAGCTTAATTGTTCTCTTTGGGCTGCCACCTGCTAACCCACTCTGGGAGCTGGAGGGGGCTAGAAAGGTGTATTCGTGAGGCTGCCGGAGAGAGGGCTGGCCCGGGGGCGAGAGGCAGACATGGTCATTACCCACGCCAGAGGAGGAAGAGATGTGAGGGGAACTAAAGGTGAAGAGCCCTGTGCGGAGACACGCTGGGAGCCCTGCTGCAGAGCCGGCGAGGCCAAGGGAAGACCCTGTCAAATCGCAAACACTTCACTGCCTGGGTAGGGCCCTGGGAGAAAATCACCCTGTGGACGCTGGCTCACAGTGAGCACCCCAGATACGTCCCTGGGGTGCTCCCGAGTAGAGCTGTAGGCCTTTGCCATGCAATCCTCAGCCAGCGATAAAGTCACGAAGCGTAGGAGCAGGGACACTCCCCTCGTTCCCTCCGCAGCTGGCGGAGGAAAGGCCGGGGGCCTGAGGTGGGAAATCACTGGTGGAACATTCTTGTGCTCTGGGAGATGTGAAATCAAGATTTCAAGGGTAGCGTCAGGTTAAGGCAAAAAAAAAATCCCCTTCAACGCTTTCCAGGAGCTAGAAACCAGAAGCCCCCCGCCCCCTCCCGAACGCACACCAGCCACCAGCCAGCAATCCACAGCCCGGGGCTGTGTCACTGACACACCACAACACCTTTGCCTCTATTTTGTCAGGGCCTGCCACCAATCAAACGGTGCATTCCCCTCCAGCCCCCGGCCCGGCGTTGCCAGGAGGCCGGTAACCACAGCGAAGTCGGGTTACAAGTCCCGCTCTGGGCCAGTCCCCAGGGAGCAGACGTTCTTACAGCCCTGTCTCCGGGGATGGGCACCGTCCCGGCTGAACCCCAGGGACCAAACCAGAAATCCCTGGCGCTGCATCAAAGAGCCAGCGAGGGGCTGTAGCCGCTCGGAGCCGTGACGGGTCAGGCTGGAGGGAGTGGGGGTGCAGGCCCTGTAATTCACACTCCCTCCGGCTTACACAGACAAGAGGCACAGCAGCTTTTGCTCCATTAGTAACACCGCAGGGAAACGTCGGCATGCACCAAACGGCCAAGTCAGAAACGTGGTGGCACCGCTCACTCGGCTCTCACTACCCAGC